TTTTTTACATTGCAACCCGTGAAGTGCATGGTTGCAGAATTACAGCTAAGCCTAAGCCCTATCAAGAAGTTCAAATCAAAACATAAAAATAAGTGGATTTTAAAAACAGAGTACAAATAGAATTATTACAAATATGTATTTCAAATATTTGTTTTTTAATTAGATGCCTTCACAGTTTAAAAGGTAGTCTCTGCTAGTACAAGCAGCCTAGGATTTGTTTAGTTTTATCTTACAGAGTCTGAAAGATGTTGTCTATCTTAGAAATACCTGAATTAATTTTGTATCCAGAAGATATATAATGTTACTAATAAACATAAAGGTTAATTCATAAAACGCTGCTTTGCAAACGCTGAGTGGGGTATTATAATTATTTCATTAGAAACTATAGCTGAACTTACCATGTTTATTCAGCTTGGTCCCAACTTCTGGAAGACTACAATAAACGACATCTCCTAATGCTTCCTTAAAAGAAAAACAAGTGAATCAAAACATACATTAAGAAACTGTATGTGGGAGATATTTGATACAGTAACTTCAGAATGAAGGAAATATACAATTTTTCTCTCTCCCTTTCTTGCCTCTTGTCTCCCAATTTAGCTCTCAATCTTTCTAAGGGTTAAACATTCATAATGCAAATCACTTCTTAAATTTATATATTTTTAAATGCAACGAAGACAATGCCCCAAATGCCCAACTGTTGTTTATCTATAACAGTATTAATAACCATAAAGCTGATACAGTTTATTTCAGGCAGGCTGAGAAAAATATCTGCTGATTTCCTTAAAGAAACTGACTACCACTGTCTTGGCTTAAGAAATATATGTGGCACACTGTAGTTCTATTTGTAATTGTTCTTTAGCCAGAGGAGTTGCAGCATATTCAAGTTCAAGGGGAATTTGGCCTCAAAAATACATGTCAACTTCTTTCTATAATCATGTGCTCTAAAAGCCCAGTAAAACTCAAGTGATAAAAGAGGTTTTAAATTCAGCTGAACTATTCAGTTTCTCATCAAGTTCAGCTCTCCATAGGCTTGATCTGAGTGATTAAGAATTTATCAGAGTTTGCTGAAACAGCATCAACTTTACAAACAGTGTTACAGCTCTAAGTCCAAAATCTCAGTCTATACCATACACAAGTAGAATGATAATAATTTTTTAAAAAGTATCCATCCAAAGAGCAAGGACAAGAACGGGTATGTGTAAGTAAATATTGCAGGCTTGGATAGGAGGAGGGGAAAAAAAAATCAATACCTGTGCAAAATTGCTGATTCCTACTGTTCCAATACCATTTTCAACTGATATCCACTCATGCTTGTCTGTGAATTTGCGGGCTAAAACGAAACAAACTTGGTATTTCAGAAGTATGTGACATGGTGCTTGCTTAGAATACAATAATACATTTGCAGGGTTAAAACCTGCCTTATTATTATTATTTGTGAGGTTAGTTTTTTATCTGTTTTTCCTGGAAAATACTTAAGATAACAGTGCAAATTACAGAAGCACTTTGTTCCATTCACAACATCTGCAGCAGCACAACAGAAACTCTACGGCTATTGCTGATAGCATTAACAGCTCCTGTGTCATCAGTAAAGGTGCAAAAAGAGTAGTTTGAGTTCACAGAAGTGTAAGTCAAAAGTGCACGCGTGCACTTTACTTGCAGTTGCACATCTCCCTGATGACTTTTTCCAACCTGTTCGGTAATTATTTCCACCAACCACTTTGCAAGGACAGCATTAATGACATGCTGGAAAAACATGACCATTCCAACATCTCATTCAAGGTCCTATGTATTTATATATATCCATGAGTTGCAGGGAAGAGTTGCAGCCTAGCTATTTGAAGCAGTTAGTTGACTGCCCTCCCTGTTCAATGTTGCCCCAGACCTTTGTAAAATTAGGCCAAATTAATATTAGGCCACTTACACAGGTAACTTTTACCTAAGAAAATTTGCTCTCTTCTAATGCTGCTACTATAAAACAACTCAGAATAACTAATGTTGTTCTTGAAATTTAAAGACCCCTGTCTTTTCAGACCCTTGTGACAATCTCACAGTTTTGCATATAATTTAGGTCTGTAACAGTCATGACAGCTTTTATTATTGAAAGCACCTCATTCTATAAAGCCATATGGATGAACTTCAAGACAGCTAACTGAAACACACTTGTCTTCCCGCACTTGGCATAGAACTTTTCTCACCCTAAGAATTTTCAGCCCGCTTTGTTCTTTTCTCACTTGCAGCAATTCCACTAAGATTCTCTCTTTTCACTTTTCTTCTTTTTAATATTCACTTCTTGCATTTGTCTAAGTAGACAAGGGGTGTTCCTGAACCTGGAGAGCTTCTTGAACTGTGTTTTAATCCTGTGTGATTAGTGACACATCAGTGCTGCTGGACCTTCCTTCAGGTTCCAAAATTCCCCTCTTGGCCTTCACTCCTAAGCTCCTTTAGAGAAACAAAACCTGACAAAGCCTTGCTTATTTTGTAAGCTTGTGCATGAAGGAAAGCAGAAGTGCTTGCTATAATCCTGTTAAAATGTTTCCACTTTAAATCAGTAATGTTTTGAAATGTTTTAATTGTTGTGACCCTCTCATTAGCTTCTGAGTAGGAACTTCTAAAATTGTTTATTTTAAAATGGCCTGAGTTTTCTAGACCTACATAGCACAATGCAAATATAGACAATTGTGTATGTCCTTTTCAGGACATTTTACAAAATATTTTGCATGCTCATTTTTCAACACAGTATCAATCAGAAAAAGTGGCAGCTAGCATTATTTAAACCTACATATATTTCTCAGGGCATTCTAATGAACAGGAGAAATCACATATCTTGTAAATCATTTTAGGTCAAGACATTAAATCCATGGATAATAAGAATGTCACTGGAAATAAGTAATGAACCATGAGAACAGACACACAGCATTTCAAACCCAAACTGAACACTAATGTTATGTATGCCACAAAGAAGCTAGATAGTACATTTTTATGTAGAATAATAATACTAAATAGGATTCAAGATTAGAAAAGAGAAGAACAGATTCTGCAGGTCGAATTTATAACAAAGCAGGCTGTCAGGACAGCACATAAGAAAAATTCTAACCACGTAACATGTACTGTAAATAAATCCAAGGCCAAATGAGAGTTAATAGGTGATCTCAAAATTTGAACTTTGAATTTATGCAATCGGCACATTAGCTAAATCAGTCTGAATGAATATGAGATGTCAGAGCATACCAAGTTTTTTCTGTAACTATTATTTTTCAAGAAAGCAGCTGAATTTACTCTAACTTCAGGAACTTCATGACTTGTTTTCAGTCTAACTAGTGCATTCTAAAATTCAGGTATTACTTAATGTAGCCTGCCTCTATTAAATATTTTATAAAGATATGCCTGAAGAGTGAAGGAAAACTCACACTTCTACAAACAGGCATACAAAAATGTTTCCTCTCTGCCAAAACCAAGGTATGATTTATGTTATCTTTAAGTCATATCTGTAAAACCAATGATGGGCATATTAAACAGTTACAGTAATGAAGAAAAATTTAGCTCTTGATTTATCTGATTTGCAAATAACGACCAATAGAAATATTGTTTCTTTCATTTGCAAAGGCTGCAGGAGACTAGGTTAAAAGGCTATCTGAAAGAAAAGAAATGACTTACTCTCAGTAGTAGACAGTTCTTTAATAGTATATGTCTCTCCTCCAGCCCTCCCTTCTCCTTTGTACTTCTGTTGTCTGGAGTACAATGGATTCTCTTTTCAGATTTGCCTTCATTCAAATCAAGGAGTTACTGTCAGAATTAACCGCATAAATGCAAAAATGCACCAGTGCAAGGGTCTATCTTCTGCCTTAATACTAGTGCAGCTGTGCTGCAAGGGCACTCATCAGACTGACCCACCGATGTGAACAGGCCCAAGGCCCTGAAAACCCGACACAGATTTCCTGCCAGCCTAATCCAGCCTGTCCTTGATGTCTGCACGTTTTTGCCTCTCTTGTTGAGGGATTCGGGGCACATCATCAACAGCACAAGCGCTGTTTGAGCACACGAAGGCAAGGAAAAGCTCCCAGGTCGCTCAGTGAAGGTCCTGGCTGGGGCCAAGAGGGGACAGGGGCGCACAATGGAAGGCAGCAGCAGCCGGAGCAGCTAGGACTGCAGCATGGCAACGAGGTCAGTTTTCTGGCATTTCAGGGGAACAAACCAGCTTCTCACGGCATAAGGAATTGGAGGAGCATCAGCGCCAAAGCAAGGGACAGGAGAAACCGCGCTACGGAAGGCAGGG